TAAAAAATATATATGGAAACATAAATACTGTCAAAAATATTTTATCTATTTTGCGTTCATAATGACTTCATTATAACAGCGCTTTCGGTGCTGTAATGAGGTACTTTACCCAACCCACAATTTTGAAAAGTGAAACAGTGAAATTTTCACTATTTCCGTCAGTGAGTTATTAATTCACTGTAAAATTAGTGTTTTTCAATATAAATTAGTGAAATTTTAACTTCTCCAAATTAGTGTTTTTTATTATCACTACTTTTCTGGAACTCTCGACATAAAATAGTGATATTTTAACTTTTTTTTCCACTAAATAAATTAGTGCAAAGAAATCGCTACATGAAAAAGTGAGTATTCACTAATTGCTAGTGGTATACCTACTTATCACTGCGGCAAATAGTTAATATGCACTGTCAATCAGTGAAAATCCACTGTTTCATTTTTAGAGAGTAGGTTGGCTACTTTAAACAGCATACTAGTAATATAATATTTTGCATATTGTTTATAATATTTTTGATTTTTCCAGTACTTACGAGACTTTTCTGGCAATAAATTTTTTTTAACACCAAAGAAAATCCCTTTTATCTTCTTTAACATTAACAGCGGCATATTATAAATAAGTAAATTAAGGACGCCATGGCGAATCGATTTTGACATTAACCCTTCAAACCAATGACTAATACCAACTATCTAAAATAAAATTCGACCAAATTAAATATAAGGTATAAAATTAATTTTTTTATAGAATTTTTGCAAAATATATTTTGTCATTTTGTCGCACGAGGACAGTTTTGTAATGGACAAGTGCGACAAAAGGTCTTATGACATGAGTTCTTTAAGCTATTTTATCTATAGATAAAATAGCTTAAAGAACTCATGTCATAAGACCTTTTGTCGCACTTGTCCATTACAAAACTGTCCTCGTGCGACAAAATGACGTCTTATGACATTCGTTCTTTAATATAATATTGTCAAAAGTTTTAGAGTTACAGCTGCTCTTTAAGATATTAAATTAGCAGACACTATTTGATTCATAAATAGCGTAACTTCTGCTCATTATACACTGTGGTCCAGCAATCTAAGAGGCTCGACTCTACGCGGTTGTAAAACGTATGCGGGGGAGAGGAGAATGCGTATCTTTCAACGCATACAAGCTTCTAACATGATCTCGGATCCAGAGGCGAATTTAGAAATATCGCCGCCTACACTGTGAAAAACATTGGTAATTTGTGCCCCTCTTGTAAAATTAAAGTAATATACAAAAGCGCATTTAAAGCCCATTTAAATATTTAAACTATAGTATCTAGAGAGGTACATTGTTTTGCCCCCCTGGATTATTTTCTGCCGGCGCCCATAATATAGTATATAATACATCATTTACTTTGTATTACCTATTTTGTATGGGGTTTTTTATAAGGTGAACAATTATTTTTGTATGCAAATATTTTAAAATTTTTAGTATATTCACCGCATAAACTGGACGAATGTTTGGGAAGTTTGCCGAACTTTACGAGTTAATTTAAATTTGCCAGGTGGTCCGTACGCATGTGCTAAATCTCCAAACAATTGCGGTATAAGATTCGTCGCGGGAAAAACACATACATTGGAAACATTTAGTGGGTAGTTTCAAAATGAAGAACATCGATGGTGATATTGTCGCAATTGCTTCAATATTATTAAAGTGTAGTTATTTACTTTTAAAGAAAACACTTCGAAAAAACTAACGCTTTTTTGAGAATTATCTCACCGGTTATCTCAACTTTACCCTTGTATGTAGGGGAAGGTGGGGGAATTTTGCGCGGTGGGTAATTTTACACATAAAAAATTCTTCCAGATATGAAGTAAATAATACAAAATTAGCCTCAAAATATTTCATAATTATCTTATTGAATGAGTAAAAGGCATCATTGAATTTTTCCAGCCAAGTTTCACTTTCAAAGGATTTTGTAAATTTAGATATAGACTCGTTATTAAAATTACGTTTTTTTTCCATTAATTACGTTCGTTTGTAAAATGTTATAAAAGTTTATAAAAATTTGATCAATCAAAGTACAAGTATTATTGGTAACACGAGTTGGCCACTCCACCACAGGACTCATGTTAAAACACATCAAAAGGGCACATAAAGAATTAAAATTTATTTTACTATACAAGTCTAGGTTGAAGTCACCACACAAAATAAAATCAATGTTTGGTTTAAATAAAGAATTTAAAACCTCATACAATTTTTCTAAAAACACCAACAGATTCCCACTTGGAGATCTGTAACAGTTTAAAATTATTATACGTCTATATCCCTTACAGTAAGAAATTCCACATATTTCAAAATCTTGTTCGATGCAAAATTGGTTTAGGTAAAAATTTTTAACATTAAGATGCTCATGTACCCAAATACCCACACCTCCACAATTAAAGGAGGTTCTGCAAAATGAGGATATTAGATTATATCCCGGCATATAGAGAGATTTAAACATTTCTGATTTTACACCAGTTTCTACCAGGCACACAAAATTTAAATGGTTGTATTTTATTATATCACTTAAGAGATTATTAATTTTAACTGTATTTATAGTATTAATATTTAATAATAGTAGGTAGATTATTATTAAACATTACTTGTTTTCCACCTCTTCTTTCTTCTCGCGCATGCACATGCACCGAAAGGCCAAATAGATGGATCCATATGGAGCTATATAGCTTTCTTGAAACTATCTATACAGCTTCGGGTGGATGTATTAGGATTGATTCGGTATACATGAATATATGCAAGTTTAGGAACGCCCTTGATTTCCAAATTATTTTTGTTATTATCGAGTTTTGTTAAAAAATACAAATATTTGACAATTGTGAAAAATCCTATAAACTTTTTATTCATTAGAAAACATCATTTTGTATTGATTAATTTAATAAATTATTAAAACACCTTAGTTGCAGTAAGTGTCATTTGGTTTAGATTTCATAGTCATCTTTGATAATAACAAAAATTGTTTATTGCCATATGTTTGACAGTACGATACGCAAATATAATTTATTATTCGAATTTTTCTTAAAATTTTGATCAATAGAACTCATGTCAAAAGACATTTTCTCGCACTCGTCCATTATGTAAATTGTCCTCGTGCGAAAAATGAAATAGATTTTAAGTTACAACCACCATCTACTATAGTATACCTACCTACCATATATGGTAGGCGGAAAAATACCAAGATTGGATGAAAAGGTAGATAAACGTGTATGTTTACATGTAAAATACTTTGAGAAGCGCTGATTTTTTATCAATATTTAAATGATATATTAAAAGGTATGTAATTGCTCAACTTTTCTCTAATTTTTACATTTAGTATTAGTGTCATGGAAACATGTACCATAATGTGCGTTTTAAAGGTGGGAGTAAAAAAACAAAATTAATCTTAAAAATATTTTTTATTTAAATTATAAAGGATTTAAAATTCTAGATATCCCCAGTCTGTAAATTCTAAAGTGGTTCAAATTGTAATTAATTGTATCGTAAAACATTGTATGCCAAATGCTTTTCAAAATTAATAATGCAGGTTGGCATAGAAACTATGGAAGTAGAAGAATATGTAAAGAAATAAAATAAATCATTATAAAAACTTTACTTTAAAAGGTAAAATTGGTAAGAACTAGGTAAGTAAGCAACAAATTGGACTTTAGATAAAAACCAGTGTTAGTTTGCTGGGTACTCAAGTAATTGAAAAATTATTATGTAGTTAACGAGATGTCTCATAGTCATAGTTTTCGACTCAAGTCCCGACTAATTGAATTAACACGGGTTCGTCAAGAACCTGTAGAGGTCGCTAGGCGAAAAAGCGCACAGTGATTAAATTTGCAAGTATCTACCTAGACTATTTTGCACAAAACACTGTTTTTTGTTATGATGCAGGATTCTTAAAATTAAATTTACAATAATTTCAATTGATTTGTTTTTATTTTTACTTAAATTACTTAGGTACGTATTAATTAATTGAAAAATGTTGTATTTTATTATTGATTATAAGAACATTTTATTGGCTCTATTTTGTCCCAATTTTATTTAAGGTCCTAATATAAATAAAAATAATTAGTTAATAGTTATAACTATTAAGCCACTAGCTATTTTTAAATGCATTTACCCACTTTTACATAGTGTTAACTATTTTACACAGTTTATTAATTATGGACTTCAGACATTAAAATAATTCCTACAACATTATTTACTTAATTGATCTTTTTTTAAATTATTTATTACCTTAAAATGTTACATCTGAAAATGTCAATATTTTATTTCTTAAAAACATTATTACATAGAGGGTTCGTTTAGTTTATATTATCAAACTCTAATGTGATAAATTAACAATTTTCTTTGGGTGTGCAAATCTATTGAACTATTATTATTATTTTTATTATTATTAGTATTTTTTATCGATATCGATAAATACTAATAATAATAATTCAATAGATTTGCACACCCAAAGAAAATTGCAATTATTAATTTATTACACTGGAAATCGAAAAATATGTCAAGATAAGATTTTGGGCGTTAAAGTCTGTCAAGACAGGATTAGGTAGATAAATTAATTAAAATACCAGCTTCGCAATTGATTTAATTTATTTCACAATCCAAAATTACTCCTATTCGATAAATTAATTAAAATACCAGCTTAGCAATTGATTTAATTTATTTCACAATTCGATTATTATTAAGAAATTGTCTATTAGATCTTTTAACAAACGTATATATATATATATACGTATAATAAAAATATCACAAAAATAGCATAAAGGATCTCCAAAATTTGTTCATGAACAATTATTGTGGTTAATAACGCGTCAAACTAAAGGCTGAGAAGCTCTCGCAGAACAAAAGCGGAGCAAAAATTGTTCGTATATTAACATTAAACTTTAAAAAAATAGAGCATAATTTTTAAAATTTGTCTATCAAGAATTTAGGTCTGAGTGACTGTGCGTCACATTCGTTAACAAAACCAAAGTCGACCATAGAAGTGGTGGTCGCAGAAGGCGACCAAGTTGGTCGGACCAACACAAACGAACGACTCGCATTTTAGTTGTTAGACGGGTTTCTCGACGACCACACCAAGAAACTACTGGCAGACATCTCGGTAGTGTGTTGTGTATGCGTTTAAAAGTTTGTGTGCAATTTGATACAAACAAAGTAAAAAATCGCCCAATGAGTGAAGTCAAGGAAACGGAATCAGAATAGAGCGGTCAGTGGAATTCGGTGGTTAATTAGTTTATTGTGGTTAAAATGTAGAGATAAAATTTGATTTGAAAGCCCCGCGGGCACGCTCGTAATGCGCGGTGCTCAGGTGTTCATGAGATTTCATCTCTTTTGCATATTGATACTGTAGTCATAGAGTGTCTCTGACTGTAGTCGTCAACTTTTAAACATTGAAATTTATAAAATTGGTTTTACTTTTTATTTTTTGGCATGTAATTAAGTTAGGGGTAAATAAATAAATTACAAATCAAATAAATAAATAGTAAACAATTTAATAAATTTCAATGTTTAAAAGTACCTACCTACATTTTTAAATATACCTATTAAGTATATAAATTGCAATAACAATTAGAATACAATAACAATATTATATTTAACAAAATTAAATCAAATTCCAAAAAGTTTTAAGTAGGTATAACCCTATACGTATTTTATATATATATAATTAACAACAATAATAGTAAATTATTGTTTTTTTTTAATGTTAATTTATATAATTATAAATATCCTATTTACTTTTCTTGAACAGGTGTCTATTTAATAATTAATTTAATAATTTATATATTTGCATAAAATAATTTAATGATTCTAGAATTGGCAAATTATTCTTGAATAAAAAAAATATTTTTACTATCTCTGAATAATATATTATAATATGTTATAAAGATACACTGCGCGTCAAAATGAAGTAAACAAATTCTCTAAAACGCCTTTACCAATCTTTATAAAATTTTGTATAAAAATACTTCAACTTATACATATCTCAGTTTACGTGTTAGAGGGTTTTTCGTGAAAAAACGTTGAAAAAATAACTTTTAGGGATTTTTTTTAAGTAAATAAAAAATTTGCTGTTAAAACCGTATTTTTGTTAGTATACCCTGAAAATTTGGTACAAATCAAACTAACAGTAACGAAGATACAGCGCTTCAAAGTCGGTAAAAATGAACCCTTTTTGATTATTTTGCTGAAAAGTGTCATTTTTGACGACTTTGATGCGCTGTATTTTCGTTACTGTTCATTTGATTTGTACAACAATTTCAGGGTATACTTACAAAAATTGGGTATTTTACAGCATATTTTTTATTTACTTAAAGAAATATATGAGATAAAATACTTTTAAAACAAGAACGACACTACAACTTTCCTGAAATTAAATATCCACAAACATAAAAATGGGGGAAATATATGCCAACACTACAAACAATATTGTTTTATGAAGTCTTACAATTTATCTAATTTTCATTGTGTTTTAATATACAATAAAAATAATAGAGGTCATTTAGTAGGGGTAATTAAATTGTTTGTATTTACAAAACCCCTTGGTATACAGTAACTATTCATACATATTTCTAAAAACAATTAAATTTGTCATTAAAATTTGTATGATTCAGTTAGTAAAATACGTTTATCGATGCAGTTGTTTAATCGTACAAAAATCTTAAATATACATTCTTTTGGATGAAGATTTTCTTGTTATTTTTTATTTTTAACAATAATTTAGTATTGCTTTGCAACCGAAAATTAGAGATTACATATAATGAAATATTTTATATTAAGACACCAAGACAATATTAAGTTGTAATTTTAATTTTTTGTTTAGAACATTCCCTTAAACGTATATTTTTCTTTAGGCACGATGATAGTAAAATGGTTAATAGTCATAAGCCTCATAGGCTTTGTGGCCATCATAAACGAAGTGTACAGCTGCAACGAGGCTGTGTGCGGCAGCGTTGTCAGTAAGTGTCTTCTGACGCAGTCCTGCAAATGCGATAAAAAGGAGAACTGCGACTGCTGCAAGGATTGTCAAGCGTGCCTTAGCTACTTATATAGCGAATGTTGTTCTTGTGTTGGTAAGTGAACAATATACTTTTGTTAAGGATAAAATAATAAAAAATTAATGAGGATTTCAAGGAGCCTCATTCAATACCTCGAAATTAGTGGAAAAATTTAGTGGTTTCAATTATACTTATAATTAACACAAAACGATCATTCACAATGAGCAAAATTAACATCTAAAATTAAGGGAACTGCTTCTTCTTAACCTGACATAAACAATATTAATTATACTAAAATAATATTTTTTACAACCATTACAATAATATTTTTATAACCTTTCCTTCACTAGAAAATCTTCAAACTTTTTGCTTTTGAGATGCGCACGTGCGCAAAGCCGCTTTCCAATTATAATAATTAGTGGTAAATCTTAGAAGTTTGCAAACTTTTTCCACTAATTGAAAAGTACTACCACTAATTTTTTGGTTGTGAACAACACTGTGTATATTATTATTGTTATAGTATTATTATTATAAGACAAATTTTACGTTAATTGAAACCACTAATTTATTCCACTAATTACGAGGTTCTGAATAAGGCCTAATAAAATATTATTATTATGAATTTAAAGTAAATTCTTAATTTTTATTTAGCTTGAAAACGCATGCTATGGAGAGTTCATGGTTGGAATCATGGAGCCTATACACAAGGAGAACGAACTCAAATGGGAAAATTGACAGAACTTTCCAACAAAATTGTATACACACTACGTTTTCTTTTAAACTGACGTAAATTTAGTATCGTAAATACATATGTGAAGTAAGCAAGCAAATATTTAAAACTGATTTGAATTTGCAAATAAACAACTTACAAAATAAGAATACTCGCAAAAATAATATGTATAAAAACAAAGCAGAAATACTATTCTCCACATTAAAAGTCTTACTTTGACAATTGCATAAGAAATGCCGCCAAATAATTAAAGTTATGTATCTGACAGTTTAACGCTAATTTCGTATTATTTTCTGAAAATAATACAATATATGAAGTATTTTTGTATATAAAGGTTATTATTTATTATAAACATATACATAATATGTATACATATTATGTATTGTATTATTTTTAGAAAATAAGAAGAAATTGTGGTTAACCTGACAGATACCTAACCTCAATTATTTGACTGCATTCCTTATTCAAATGTGAAAGTGGGACTTTTTGATGTTGAACATAGTAAAAACTTTTTACTAAAAAGTACAAAGAAACTGTATGATGATGGGGCGCCATCTTCATATTTTTTTATTAAGCCCGTTAATCAGAGATATATCTCTGCTTATACAACTCCACTGTTTCTGTACAAACAGAACGCTATTCATTAAACCAAAAAAACCCATTAAAACAATTTTAAAAATTAACAAAAAAAAACAAATGACAAATGTTTTAATTGTAAAAATTGTCTAGATGGGTTTTTTGTTTCAATCTTATTTTCGAAAGCAATTTGTATACATAGAGTTCGTGCTCTTTCTGTAGGCTCCATGATTTAAATATTAAGATTAATATTTATAAAATTTAATAAACTATACAATGTCATAAACTATAACACTTTTAGTTATATTATTTTATTTTAGAAATGTGTCCAACACCCAATGATACAGTCAGTGCTATTAGCAAAATGTCTTATTGCGAAGAGGTTTCTTCAGTGCCAAGTCTTTTTAACGCGTTAACTGAAGGTGGTAGCGAAAAAGAATGGAGTACTGTGACTTTTCCGATCGATATTGATGCGTCACAATTCGATTCGAAAAGGGAGTTAAAAATATACAGAAGTAAGATACCTATTTAATTCATTTTTGGCATTTTATAATACAACATTTTAGAGACCTCAGAGCAAGAAACGATTGCGGAAAGAAATAATAACGTTTTTACAATGAATTGCACAGTGGCGTACTGGGCGCAGTGCATGAGTTCATCAAAGTGTAGACAAAGCTGTTTGTCAATGGGTGCTTCTTCTTATCGATGGTTTCATGACGGGTGCTGCGAATGCATTGGAGATAAGTGCGTTAATTATGGCATACCCGAAAGCAGGTACATAAATAGTCTACGATCGATACTCTAGACCTGCGGTTCCTAAACTGTTAAGGCCACAGAGCACTCAATAAATCCCTTTACATTTATGGTACCCTACACAAAATAATAAGTACCATGAGATACTGTAATTTCAATTGGGATTAACATGCTCACGCGGTTTATTTAAACACATTTATTAACAAATTTGTTACATTAATGTAACTAATTCGCGAAACCTTGATAACGTTTCTAGCCCACTTTAGGAATCGCTGGATTAGACTAGAGTCCTTAATTTTCTGAATTGTACCAGATAAATAAACTAGTATATAATTATTAATAACATATAATATAAAATATTATTAATTACAATACAGTGAAGCCTTTAAAAATAAGAAAACAATAATTTTTATTGGGAGTTTTGAATTTATTATAGTCTAGTATTATGCATCAAATTGGGGTCCATTGAAATTATGTAGTTTAGGTAATAGTTATCGCCTTAGTTTCTCTTTTGAATTCCGCAATGGGTATCCACAATCATCGTAACCATAGCGCCTTAGTATCTTATTGTGAATTAAAGAGATCCAAGTAACCCTTTAGGTAAACATTGCTTAAGCAGTGTTTGTCAACGTGTGGGTCTCGCAAACCGCATAGGGGCCTTCCATAAATTTTGTGACGCTGGTAGGAAGGAGGGTAAGTTTGAAGAACCGTCAGGGTTTATCACGCCCGAGGGGGAGGTTTATTATTAAACGTCACGTGATAAATTAAATCGTATGAAATTGCTTATTTGTTCAATTTTTAGTCGGATTATTATATCGAGTACAAAAAAAATCGGAAAAAATGTTTTAAGGAGTAGGGGGTTTGATAATTCTTCACATGACACTTCGTGGGGGGGTCTTCACATCGTTACATTCTGTCACAAGGAAGGTGAAGGGGGTCAATTTCGATCATTTTTAGCGTTAAAAGAATTATGCCCCATATCCAACAGGAACTGGAAAAAAAGTTGAAGGTTTTCTTCAGTGGGTTAGATCTACTGTAGTAAAACCTGGACATAACCCAAAAAAGGTTAAATCATAATTTTACGTTTTTATCTCTCAGGTCCCAAAGTGGCTTCTGAGTTCAAAGGTTTACGTTGGGCGACAGTGGAAGCTTTCCACTGGAAAATAATGTCAACGTATCCTGTATAGGTTTACTCAGATCCGTTATGCGGTGTTATCGAATGACGAAAAATAAGGGTGTCGTTAAGTAAGCGTATTTTCTGACAGGATCAGGAGCGTAGCTACCCTGCTTAAAATACCCCATAGAGACCCTGTTCAAACCGATAGATATTTGTATCGGAATGTATGGTGTTTCTATAGGGTGTATCGGTATGTATAGGACCCATAATTGGGATTTATGGTTGTTCTATAGGGATATCCACACTTGATTTTTTTGCTATTGGTTTCAATGGGGAAAATACACATAAATGTAGAAATTAGTTTTTCCCCCATAGGACCCTATAGGTTTTAATAAAATTTTGTCAAATGTTTTATGGTTGCTCTATAGGGATATCCCTATTGAGCTATTTGCTCAGGTAATTTCCTATAAATTTTCTATCGGGCCGTATCCGGAAAAAACCATGGACAAATGCACATATTGAATCCGGTAGCGCCCGATAGATTATTTTGGGGTATTTTAAGCAGGGTACCGCGGTATCAGCCGTATCAATGATACGGGGCCCCCGGCTAGGGGGAGCCCCCGATTGGCTTTGACATGCGTAAGCAAAAAACATATTTCCCACATGTTAAAAAAATTTAGGCATGAAATTAAATAACGTAATAAATAATATTATTATTTAATTTTTTATTAAAATTTTCCTAAATACCCTACTGTTTCAACGAGCTCCATGAGCTCATACGAATTGTTTCTGCCCGCACCTTTCCGCTATGCGTTGACTGCGGCGCAGTCTGCGCATATTGTTCTGTGCTCTGCGCCGCATACTGAGTCTGCTTTGCGTCTTATTATTATAGGTTATATTAATAGCAAATTAATTAACGTTACAATTATTTCAAATGACTTGCCTTTATTTTAAAATAGAAACCTTTTAAAAGATGTGTAAGAACGGTAAATGTCTGAAACCAGACCAAATTTTAAAATTTGCCTGGTCATAAAAAGCTATGTATACATATATTATTTATTGAATTATAAAAAGTTCTTCAATAATGAAAAATTGCGACAAACATGCTTCGAAATACTCGTGAATTTCGTCATCGCGTAGCCGACCACCTACTTTTCGTAAAATCAATAGAATGAGAACTAGTTTGTTTTCATTTTTTCCAGTTATTCTTAAAATGTATACCTATAATATTTACACTGTAAATTTTACAGGGTATCCTGAGTTTTCATCACATTACATTTTTGACACTACTTACTAACGTTATAACCAAATCATTTTTTTCAATTATGTACATAGTAACCAAGACTAACCAAACTCATTCCACAACATATAATATATTATGTTGTATATATACATGACGCTACTAGAACTAAATAAATATAATCAGTTCTCGCGGATTCACTAAGGTGAATTCACTCTTTAATCACAGTTTTAGTACAAAAAATTACTTAAAGGCCGAGCTGCCCTGGGGCTTTGCCTAGGCCCCACGTTGTTTTTAATAATCCCAGTTTTTGCAAAAATGTACCTACTTAACTAAAAATTAAAAAAATACTTTTTTATAGGTGCAGTGACTGCCCTATAAAAGATGAACAAGTCATCGATGAAGAGGACGCGTATTATGGAGAAGATGATGATTAATACATAATATAAATTTTAAAGCCTTTCTTTAATATTTTTATTAATATTGATCGAAAAGGCGAATGCATTTTATCTCACAATCTCCCTTGTATTATAAATAAAACAAACGGATATGATGAAATAGAACACAAAAGTTTTTATGCAGGTGTAATTTGCACAATTTTTATCTTGTTTTTACAATTTTCAGTTCTCGACTTAATTTTAATTTTAAGGTATAAAAAATAATTGCTTTAATATATTTTTATATTTATTGAGACCACTGTTCAGTAATATTCCACAATATAATATAAAATACATGCAATAGTTTTTAGTGTACAAAATTAAGTTATCAGTTAGAATTGTTACATTTAGGTATTGTTTATATAATAGTTGTACAAACATAGTTTTTAAACACTGTATATGATATTTTATAAATGTGATAATTTTAATAAACATATACTATATAATGTCAGTCATAAAAAAGTACCTGTTCCAGACAACCAACAAAATGTATAAGTAAAATTTATGAACAAACAAATCAGGCGCTTGTAGTTAAAATGTTATCACAAAACTCTTGGCCATAATATATATGCATGCATGCATGCATGCATAGTATTAATTAAAAAACATTAAAAAGTGTACATCAACTCACATAATCTAGCGCCAGGAAATCCATTCCCTGCTTAAAATACCCCATAGAGACCCTGTTCAAACCGATAGATATTTGTATCGGAATGTATGGTGTTTCTATAGGGTGTATCGGTATGTATAGGACCCATAGTTGAGATTTGTGGTTGTTCTATAGGGATATACACCCTTGATTTATTTGCTATTGGTTTCAATGGGAAAAATACACATTAATGTAGAAATTAGTTTTTCTCTCATAGAAACCCATAGGTTTTAATAAAATTTTGTCAAATGTTTTATGGTTCTTCTATAGGGATATTCCTATATATCCTTCATTGAGTTATTTGCTATCGGTCTCAATAGGGAAAATGTAAAAGTTATGGTGTGCCTATAGGTAATTTCCTATAAATTTTCTATCGGGCCGTATCCGGAAAAAACATTGACAAATGCACATATTGAATCCGGTAGCGCCCGAGAGATTATTTTATATAGATCTCTATGGGGTATTTTAAGCAGGGTTACAAGTTACAAAAAACAAAAAATTAAAGTACCGCAATGGATCAAGAAGAAAGTAAAAAAATAATAAACTGTGTAAATTTGCGTTTTTGCAGAAACCATCATTAATACTTTTATATACTCAGTCAATGGATAATTGATTCATCAGTAAAAAATACTTTATTTTTTGGCATATTTTTTCTTTTTCTACTTTCCTGTAAAATTTGCGATTTAATATCTTTTTGTCCTGGGTAGGAATATCAAAATCTTCAATGTTATACATAGGAATCTTGGTAATTTTTATATTTTGTCATGTTACATTAACTTTATTAACACGCGTCTATCAAGAGATGTTAGTAGCATATTATGCGCGAGTGGCGAGGTTACACACGACGTCTCTTTATCTACGACTGCAATAATTTTTACGCTGTGGCTCCCGTCCCGAGGCGGGACTTAAGTTCAGTCCCGATTGTCATAATTTTAAGATTTGTTATGTTATAATAAAATAATAATAATAATAAATTGTACCTGTATACATGTTAAGGGCACTTTAGTTACGTCATAAAACCAAACCAACCCAAACTCAACAACACAACCCAACCGACCCCGCCCCATTGGGCCCCCCCGCCCCATTGAGCAAAAAACCCAACTAAAATGGGCAAATTTATGTTACGATAAAAATAAAACACTTTTTAACAAAGAAACAACAAATTTATAAAATAAAAAAAATAAAAAAAGTTTGACAACTTCTAGTTCTCGAGCTTGACACAAATTATAAAATCTCGGGGAATAAAAACGGATTTACAGTGTGTGACGTCAATCGGGACTGAACTTAAGTCCCGCCTCGGGACGGGAGCCACATCGTAATTTTTAACCTTTTCAAACAATTAATTTTTGATTTTTTTTTAAATTGATACCGACAGTTCTGACATATATTTACTCAATGTCGCCACCATAACGTTACTACCAAACTAAAATTCCCTAGCACTATAACATAATATACAGGGTGCGGCGCGGTCAACATTTGAGAAACAAAAATTACTTACCTATAATCAAATCATAGCTAATTGCAGGGTCAAAAAATGCTTTTTATTGAATATTCTTATAATATATACTTTTAAGAATATGTACTTAAAATTTCATTAAGATCGGAGCACTAGAAGTTATGTTATAGCAATTTATAGCGCGCTACCTCACAAACATTAAATCAATTTAAATTAACTTAAAACTTCAAACGCGTTTATCTCGGAATCGTATTTTATGAAAACTTCCGTTGCCGTGAGCTCGACGCTTGTTTTCCAGCGTCAGATTGGTCAAGTGGTCATCTCACGTGAATTTCAGCGTCAAAAGTTACGTAACGAAAAAGCTAAAACGAATTTAGTTTTTTTTACTTGGAGGCTGTGAATATGCCATAAGTCATTCAATGATGATAAATGTAGGTTCAAAAAATTTAATAGTATATTATTATACGATAATGCGGGCTATTCACAAGGGTGAGGTTTGCGTCTCGAGCCATCAAGCATGCTTTTTCTACACCAATTAAGTAATTTTTATTAATAACAAAATTTATTATAACCTCACTTTCTCCTAAATTTAAAGATCATTATAGTTGCTCCTCGTATATATAAAAAATCTGACATCTGTAAACCTTACTTTTTCCTAATTGAAAACACGATTGGTTCAAATAAGAATGAATATTGAAATCAGCCAATCACTGATGAGTAACAACTTGAATAATGAGTTTATTATTCCCGTTTTTAGGCGGGGCGGTTATATTATGTCAATAATATGCAATAGGAGTAGAAAAAAACAATTATTCAATTGGTATAAAATTAATACAATATTAAAACTTTATTAAGGAAATACATAGTATAATTGTTTTCAATACTAAATGGTTTCTTAAAGTAATGTTTTTTTTTAAGGATTTTGTAAGAAAAACAATATTAATTTTTATTGTATTATACTTACTTAATAGGCCAGTAAAAGTGTAAGATTTTATATAGGGAACCCAATACTTTATACCGGTTGGAATTTTATTTTTTGATAAAAAGAGCATTTACCTATTATATTAATAAGTATTAGTACGTATTCTGGTTTTCGGATTGGTCCAAACAACCCCCGCGACGCTAAAACAACCAACGTTTTTCTTAATAATTTAATAAGTTAGAGCAAAATGTTTATAAAACCTATTTTGCTCTCCGATGCGCTGTTGCTTAAATATATTTAAAAAAACCTCATCTATTTTTTTGGAATATGGTTTTCTCCTTTTTTTACCCCTTTTCTGCTAATTTCCTTTAAGTAAATTGTTTTGGTGTAGTGGCGGCTCGTCAGGGTGGGCCTCTGAGGCCGCGCCTCACCCTTAAAATGAAGGAACGAACGACTTTTTGTATTTAGATTTTTGCCTATTACAAGTGTATTTTTACAACAGTTCTACCCAACAAAAAGTAAAAAACCAATCAATCATACTAAGCGTAAATAAAAATCCAGGCGCAAAGCGCGTCAAAGTAACGTGCATCGTTGAGAGTCGCTAGGACAGAGGCGAAATTTTCACAGCCTCGGAAGCTCCCATTTACCTCTAGAAAGCGAAAATGACTCACCAACAAAAATATCGCCGGAAGTTCGCCAATAAATACCGTAGATTCAGTCGTAGATAAGGCGAAATTTAGTTAACTTGGATTGTTCTGATTGGTGGTTTTATCACATTACCGATGATAATCGCTTGTGGGGGTCCGTCTTTGGTGGGATGCCAGTGTTCTCTTAGCGTTTGTATACAATATATAGTTTTTGTCTCGATTAGTAAAATTTCTTATTTAATTATTATATGGAACACACTAAGGTAGATTTAGCAGTTTTTATTAAGCAAATTTTATATTTTGAAATAATAGATTGCATAATTTTTCAATGAGAGACGCGGTTTGAAAATTTAGAATTACTTTTAAATCTCACTGCAGACCCACAATTTTACGACCAAATAATAGATAAATTTACAAACTTAAAAGATAGACGTATAGATTTAATTTACAAAAAGTAGCTATAGTATTTTATATTTTTTAATACTTAGGTAGGGGTCGACTTTTTAGTTTTATTTTTATTTTTTGATTAATTTATTTATTTTTAACTTTTTTAAGAATATATTTTTAAGTTTTAAGATTAAAACTAGTCTTTGATGTGATATTTTGTTTGTTTTGTTTTTTAGAGTTTATTTTTTATTTATAATGGTTTAGTAGGGCTATCGGCGATGACCTCCATTTTAAAAAAGGTCAACGCGCCGCAGAATATTACCTCCCGGGTGGAAATTTATTCGTATTTAGACAAAATTAACCTTATGTAGCCTCACCCTCCTGTACACCCACGAGCCGCCACTGGTTTGGTGTAGGTTGGACAAACTACAACACGTTTCGGTGACAAATTATTATTATTTAAAAAAAATGTCTAATAAAAGGTCAATTTTATAGGCATTAAAACTTTGCAATTTACTTTTTTGTTGATGCATTGTTGCCTAATTAAAGAAAAAAAACGCGAATGTACGCTGCGTGATATTGTGATCGACGCTCCGGGAAAAAAGCTCGTGGCTTTGAACGTAGATTGTTCAGTTCCACACTGGACAAATTTAATTAAGTGAAACAATCAATTTATAGTAAATGTTTAGAGCTACAAAATTCAAGAAAGATTTTTTTTTTAAACTTGGCAAAAGGGGTAAGGGAGAAAAGGAAAAACCAGAATATATACTAATCAATTTATATATGCTCTTTCAATTAAAAAAAATAAAATTGCAACCGGTATAAAAGTATTGGGCATACGCTTTTACTGGCCTATAATAACACTGTAGGTAAATTTTTAACTTTTAAAATATCACAGCTAAACGCTCGGACACGTCAACATAATTTTTGGTCGTAGATTCCAAATCCGTGCTCGGTTTAGCTGTAATCTACGACCAAAAATTAAGTTTACGTGTCCGAGCGTTTAGCTGTGATATTTTCACCTCCCTACAGTGTAATAAATGTACAATTCACTCCTGAACAATTCATTCAAATTTAATAAGAGTTTTGACGCTAAGAACTAGCTTCCAGTAACAATATGAAATGAAGTCTTCAGACGAAAGTTGGCATCCAAAAGAAAGTCACATTTTGACAAGTCTAGCGAGCAAAGGGGGCCACAAAATATCGCGAAATCAGGAATTAGAGACAAACTTGAATTCGTAAAAATGGACAATTACATATTTTTTCGAGCATTCTTGGCATGCCATATTATGCTTATTAAACAGTTTTCATTTTAAATATTTTTTCTTAAAAATTAATCGAGTTACAAAAAATAACTAGTCCTGC